CTTTTTAGGTGGCTTTCTTTACCCAAATTAAAGCATCTGACATTATTATTTTTCTTCAAACCTCTGGAAATCACCTCTCCTATCCACATAACACCATGGTAATGAGATTCAATATTAATTGTATCTCTGATTCAATCCTCCAAGGGTGCTGATCTTGCCTTAACAGCCTAATTACCTCTTTGGATTATGCATTAGCATTTTCAAAAGCCAGAGATTCAATGATTATTTTTTCAGCTTCTGAATTTGGTATCATTCTATTTACTGCTGAAAACAGCCTTTGTAAGAAATCTGTGAAGGTTTCTTTTGGGCACTGTATAGCTTTTGTAAATGATTCAATTTTCTTCCCTGCTTCTTCAATTCTGTTCCACACATTCATGGCTGTCATGCTAGTGGACATCATATAAAGATTGTCATTGTATATCAGTGTAATCACCTTCTCCAAGAAGTTGATCTTGGGAAATTTCCATACCTCTAGTTCTACATTGTTGTTCTATAGTCTTTGCCTCCTCTTTCCACCAAGACATCCATTGTAACTCTGGCCCTGCCTCTATGATTGCTGTAACCAAATCTTTCCAGTCCTGAGAGATAATTCAATTACAAGTTTACCATGAGTTTAACATCTGCTTTGCAAATGGAGAATGCATACAATATAATGCTATAATACTATAGCTTCTTTAAATCTCCTTAAATCTAACATTTCCACTGGAGTGTAGTTAGCTTGTACACAGCTTTGAGCATTTGGCTGTTCCTGTGAGGTTACCAGGTAGATTAATGTTTGCTGTTTGGTAAACTTAAGATGTTTCTCTGTAACCATATAATTCAAAGCTGAGATAGGTTCACCTTTAATTTTTCTTTCTGGGTCTGAATTTCTCTACAATTTGTTTTAACAAGTTTTTCTAAAATTTTTATTTTAGAAAATTGACCAACCTTTTTAATGCTAAAATAAAAATGTTCAAACAAAGAATATTCACAATTGATGTTATTTTAATTCCATCAACATTAATTATCCTCTCATTTAATTGTTCCATTTTTAGACTGCCTAATGTATTATCAAACAGAGGCAAAATCCCCCCATTATAAAAATGTTTCCCATTTTTTAATGTGGGAAAAATTCTCTTTTAACTAATTTTCTCCCTTTAAGATATCTTAATTGATTCAACAACTCTGCTGACTGAGTAGAATAGTAGAAGTCCAAGAGAATATCAAAGCAGCTACCTAGTGTGGTAGCTGTCTGAGGTGGAAATCCAGAGAGAGCTCACCACCCACCAGGAGAAAATAAGGCAAAGAGACTCCAGCCGGGTAGAGATTCTGGCCTTGTGTAGCTTGGGCCTGAGCCATGCAGTTCAGGCCTAAGCCAGGGGCCTGTAAGGCCACAAGTGGCTTTTTGTGAATTCTTGCTATAAAGGTCGAGCCACCAGATGTAAGTGGTGATATATTGTGTCCCCCAAAATATTGTGCACCGTAATAAAGCTTATCTGAGGATCAGAGGAAAAAGCCAGCCACTATATTAAACATATAAGTCAAGCAATAGTAGCACATGCCTTTACTCTTAGCATTCAGGAGGCAGGGATCCATTTGAATCTCTGTGAGTTCAAGACCATACTGGGGAACAGAGCCAGGCATGGTGACACATGCCTTTAATCCCAGGACTTACCATAGAGTTCTGGAGGTCTGTAGAGACAGACAGGAAGTGATGTAGCTGGGTGGAGAAGAAAAGTGAGATGCAGAACAGAAAGACATATAGGCATGTGTATACAGGAAGTAGGTTTCATTGGCTGAGGATTTCCGAGTGGTAAAAACATGGCTGGTTTCTTTCTGCTTTTCTGATCTCTGTTCTTACCCCAATATGTGACCATTTGGCAATTCATCTTACAGGGACCCCTGGCAGTGGGATCAGGATCTATCCCTGGTGCATGTGCTGGCTTTTTAGAGCCCATTACCTATGGGTTTAATGCAAGGGGAGGGGCTTGGACCTGTCTCAATTAAATGTACCAGGCTTTGCTGACTCTCCATGGAAGACCTTACCTTTTGTAGGGGATGGAGGATGGGATGGGGGGAAGGCTTGGGGCGGAGTCATGAGAAGGAATGAGAGGGGGATCTGTAGTTGGGTATGTAAAATGAATTAAAAATTCTTCATAAAAATAAATAAAGAAAAATGACAGAAGACAAAAGATGTGATCTTCCATGCTCCCATGCTCCTGAATCAGAATTAATGACCATCCTACCAAAATGGCCATCCTACCAAAAGCAAACAGCAGATTCAACAAAAACCCATCAAAATTCCACCACAATTCTTTGCAATTAAAAAATAACCTCAATTTTATATGCACACACACACACACACACACACACACACACACACACACACACACACATAAAATAATCCTGAATAGTGAAAGAATTGCTGAAGATATCACCATCTCTAATTTTTAGTTGTACTACAGATCTAGAGTAATAAAAACAGCATGGCATTGGCATAAACATAGATACAATGATCAATGAAATCAAATTGAAGACCCAGACATTATTCCACACATGTACCCACACTGGAATTTTTACTAAGAAACAAAAATTACACACTGCAGAAAAGATAGTATCTTCAAAAATGCTGGTGGTAATACTTGGTAGATGCATATACAAGAATGCAAATAGATTCATGTCCGTCACTCTACATAAAAGTCAACTTCAAGTGGAACAAGGACCTCAACATAAGACCAGATATACTGACCCTCACAGAAGAGAGAGGGGGAATAGGCTTGTACTCACCAACACAGGAAAGAACTTCATGAAAAGTACTCCAGTAGCAAAGTCACTAAAACAAACTTTATTAAAAATGGGACCTCATGAAGCTGAAAAGCTTCTGTATAGCAAAGGACACACAATTATTCAAGCAAAGCAACAGTCAACAGATTAAGTAAAAATATTTACCAATTATGTCTAATAAATGTTAGTATCTACAAATATATAAGAACTAAAATACTGATCATCAAAAATCTAACTCATTTTAAAAATGGAGTACAGACCTAATCAGAGAGTCTAAAAAGATGAAATACACAAATGGTTGAAAAACTCTTAAAGAATTCTCAACAACTGTATTTATCAAGGAAATGCAAATAAGAACTACTTTGAGATTTCATCTCACACCATTCAGGCTGTCATGATCAATAAAAAAATGACATCACATGCTGGAGTGTACACTAGTACAGCCATTATGGAAATTGGGGTGGCGTTTCTCTTAGGAAGATGGTGGTCAATCTATGTGAATCCAAATTATATCACTCTTGGGCATATACTCAAAGGTCTCTATAATAATGTGCTCTTATCTATGTGCATTGTTACTGTATTTATCACAGTCAGAAGGTGGAAACAGATTAAATGTCTATCAACTGATGCACAGACAATAAAAATATGGTACATTTACAAAATGAAATATTATTCATCCATTAAGAATGAAATTATGAAAGTTTCAGATAAATAGATGGAACCAGAAAAAAATATCTTTAGTCAGATAACCCAGATCCAAAAACACAAGTACTATATATTTTCTCTTATAAGTGGATGTTAGCTCTCAAGCATTTGAAACATGTGCTTCAGTAACAATAACTCAGAAGTTAGGTACCTACTAAAGGATCAGGAGGGAGGAGAGGATCTCCCAAGACAGGCGAACTACAACAAAATGTTATGGATAGATAAGAAAGAAACTAGAATGGGAGGGTTAAATAGGGAAGGGGATGGTAGAGATGGATAAAGGAGGAAATATGGGAAGAAACATCTAATGCTAACAGCCATTCAATTCACATATAGAAACCTACTACTCTAGAAGCCTCCTAACATACATACATATATATATATATATATATATATATATATATATATATATATATATATATATATATATATATATATATATATATGAAAGGAATCCAAAAGGAGTCATCAAATAATTGAGGAAATAATGCCCATCAAGTCCTTGTCGAGCCATTTACAAAAGGCATGCCATGAAACCCCCATACATCACAAGTTATTACCAAGGCTACTAGTTGCTCTCCATAACTTGATAGGCCCAATTGCGAAAGGCAGCACTTAACTTATGTCATCAATAATGGAAAAGTTGAGCTTGTACCTAACTAGAGGTTTTATCCCTACTGACTTGCATTCATGGTGCTGGAAAATACTCTGCATGCTACCAAAGGAGAAACATAATCATCAATATCCACAACCTATAAACCTTGACACCTACAACACTGCCCTTCCTTCAAGTTGTATTAAGTGCAATAGTGTCACAACGTTCGGGGAATAGGCAAAAACTTTTTGATTGGATTTAAGGTCTACTCCAGAAGATAGAACCCATATCTGACTCTGCTAAAGTGGCCAAGAACCTGAGACAAGACCAGTCATAGGCCTAGGGGAAAACCTAATAGTATCATTATGCTAAAGGACTATAACAATTAACGGCTCCTAATAACATCCTCATGTACCTGTAGATCAGTGCCTTGTTCAACACACATCAGAGAAGCTTCTTGCAGTAGAGGGTAATTAACACAGATATCTACAACAGGACAATGTGAAAAGAGTGAGAGACTTTGGAGCACTCAGTCCTGAATGGGATGCCTTCATCAAACCCCTCCCTTCAGGTTGCAAGACTCTGCATGGAAGAGGACGTGAAAAGATTGTAAGAGCCAGAAGGGATGAATGACTGCAGGGAAATAGCATCTTCCAGACACATCCAGGACGGATGCACAGATAAAAATCCCAGAGACTGTAGTAACATACAGAAGATCTGCACTGGCCCAAGATGGGGTCCTAGCCCTGAGATGGGGAAAGAGACATGAGGTCCCAGTCCTAACTATGAAACTGTTTCCAATGGATGCCCATTTGCAAAGGGACAGTAAGTTTTCTACATTAGAGTGTCACTGTGTATAACAGCAACATTACAGAGCTGGGCTCATGAACTCAAGGGTTTGTTTTTTTTTTTTTAACTTTTTTTCATGTTGTTTTGCGTTATCATTTACTTTCTGTCCTAATGGTCTTTTGCCTGTTTGTTTTGATTTTCATTTTTGTGTTTTTATGTGTGGATTGTTTCATCTTTGCTTTGTTTTTTCAATGAATGAAAGAGAAAGAACATAAGCACCTCACGTGCCTAGGGATGGCATCTGGGAGGAGTCAGAATATATGATATGAAAAAAACTTTTAATTAAATAATAAAATGAATAAGATGAAAACTACTGTATGTCCTGCATATAATTGTTACTATTGTATTGAATGGATAATGCATGTTTTAACAACAAAACATGAAAAGTTGGTGAACTTTTAAGTAACGGTTTTAGCTACATTTCAAACAGTAAAAATACAAATGTACACTATACATGTACACCACCCATAGTTACATACATTTTCTAAAACTTTACTTACTAATTGTGTGTTATTTATGAACTATGGTATCTATTCAACAAATATTCTATACAATCTAAACTAAATAGAAAAGCAAATAGTGTAACTTACAGTCCACTCAAAGTTTCATTCTGAGAACGTTTAGCACCACGTGCTCCTATTGCAAAACCCATCGTGTATCCCAGTACTTGTGCAGCATCACTGATAGCTTGAAAATGAACACAGCACCAAACAGCTTCATAACTTGGTCATAGAAAATACTGCTGAATAATCTGTGGTATCTGAATGTTTTCCATGCTATTCTCTATTACTTAAGAGAGGGAAGGTGGGTAGGAAAAGAGAGGGAAAAGGGTGGGAGGAAGAGGTGGAAAGAGAAATGGGGGAAGTATTTTCTGGAACTGATTCTAAGAAATCCCAAATTAGTAGGGCAGGAGGCTGGTGGGAAATTCATGTAAGAGTGGATCCTAGTCTTATAGTTGACGCTAGTCCTGAGCCACAATCACTGCTTCTTTGGGAACAGTCAGTCTGCAGTGTTAAGACTTTACTTGCTTGAATGAAACTTGCTCTTAAAGGCCATCTGCTTTATTCAGTGTCCGATTGTGAATGTTAATCATACCTGGGTCAGTGTCAGAGAGCCATATAGACTGCTACCTGACAGTACAGCTGTGTGGAGTATCCTCTTATGTAATCAAGTACTAGATACTCAGAAAATTTAATTATGAATAAATACATTTATATTCAGTATGAACACAATAAAATATATTTCTTCTAAAAGTTCACTAGAGACATTTTCAAAGTAAGTAAAAAATAAGTTTATATTTAAAATAAATGATAACTAGATATTATCTGTGAAAGTATCTCTTTATTCTGGCCTATCAGGACCAGAGTCCATTAATAGTTATTAAGTAAATTATTTGAGGATGAATCAATGTTTACTTAAGGACACAGTTTGCATAAGACATTGTAAGTGGAAGTGATGACACTATATTCAACTATCTAGCCCTCTCCTTCCTCCTCCCCCCATCCCTCCCCTGCCACATAATCCCCTCCCCCACCCTCCTCCCTCTCTCCCAGAGGGAAAAGAGGAACAGAGAAAAGGAGAAAGTTTTGTCACTTAAAACCTATGTATTTTCTATTCCTCTAAGTCTTCTCAGAGACATTTAGATGATTTGTCTAGTGTTGCAAATCTCAAAATTAGGTAGATTAATGTAATTTTTGAAGTTATGCACACAGGTCTTCACTACTTGGTACAGTGGTGTCATCACAGGGCCAATAGTACTTCTGTATCAGTTGAAACATACAGAAACCTGATGAATATTCAAATTACCCCATGCATATTAGAAAAAAAAAAACAAACTTGCCTAGATAGAGGCCAGCGGATAATGTGGGAACATGATCGTAAAGGAAGGTCACGCCAAGGATATAAAGAGGCATCCCTGACACTCCATGGAGACACTGTGCGAAGACGAAGAGATAGATAAATTTTGATCTGTATGGTATCCATACTCCACCACAGTCTGTCATTGTCCTGTCTGCTTCTTCTATGCACAACTCTTTTAAAAGATAAGAAATATATTTTACTGAATTGAATTTGAAATTAAATGTACAAATAACTTGCAGTTGCTACCACCACACTGTTTTCTTTTACTTAATATTTTCGCTTTGAGTGTAGTCATACAATCAACTATCATATTCTAAATGGAGGTAGCACAATAAAAGAAGATGTGTGGGAACACTGGAAGAGACACACACAGTATAATGAAACAATGTGATTGTTTATATGCATGAATTACCATTACATGTACACAGATATGCTTATATACATATACATCTATGCATATATGTGTACTTATTTTTTCTATACTTTGCATCCTGTTCTTCTGACTTTTGTCTCCAGAATAAAAGTACTTGCAATGCCCTGGATGATCTGAATTGCCAAAATCCACCACCTGAGTTTAGTTTCATGGTCCTTTCTTTAGCAATCTTTAAATTATACGTGTGCTACTGTGGTTAAATAATTTCTTATTTTAGACCCATGAGTTTCTAGAACTGTAAGAGGGATACACCACCTGATCTCTGACAGGAATATCTTGTCCTAACCCCTTCCTGTCTTCACTCTGCTTGTCTCCTACCATGAGGTAAATAGCCTTCTTTGCACACTCCCAGTTTTCTGCCTGGTATGGGCTCAGAGTCACTGGAGTCTAGTAACCATAGAGGGAGCACTCTGAAACCATGAGCTAAAGCAGGGCTGTCCTACATTTAAGTTATGTCCAGAATTTGTTCACAGCAATAGAGCATCTAAGTACAATGGGACCATAAAAAAGATATTAAGTCAAAAAGATTTCCTTTGTTACTATGTGGTCATTTATCCATTTTAAAATCATTGGATGATATGTTATTTCTCATTTTTCTTACTCACATGATTATAAGGTTTTTGCATTTATACTGGCTAGTAGATTGGTAGAGCTAAGTAGCTTATACTAAACCATATCCACCATGACCATCTTGGGTGAAATTTAATACATGTTGTTGAAATATTATTGTAGAATAACTTTTTTTGTTTTTTGTTTGTTTGTTTGTTTGTTTGTTTTTCGAGACAGGGTTACCCTGTGTAGTTTTGCGCCTTTCCTGGAACTCACTTTGTAGACCAGGCTGGCCTCGAACTCACAGAGATCCGCCTAGCTCTGCCTCCTGAGTGCTGGAATTAAAGGCGTGTGCCACCAATAACTTTTAAAGTGAAGTTTACAACCTATTACATTAATTAAAAAGTATTTTACTTAGTTTCTATGGAATAATACATAACTCTATAGCAAATGGGAAGATGTCCCTAAATTTGTAATTTAACTCATCATGTTCATCATTTTCTTTTTAAATAATACATACTGTGTTCAATTAGTTTCTTTATAAAATTTTCATACATGTATATGATATGTTCTGATCAATTTCATCTCTTTTTCTCTGTCTGCCTCACTCTCCCTCTGATTGGCTTCCTCTTCCTAACAAGAACCTTATTCTACAATCACGTTCTTCTTTTTTAAATGACTCAATGTGTTATGCTGGAATTGGTTACAGGATGGTAGAAGAAGGGTTGTTTGTAGAAGCACTGGCACCTTGGCAGGGACTCCACTGATGAATTCTCTCTCTCTCTCTCTCTCTCTCTCTCTCTCTCTCTCTCTCTCTCTCTCTCTCTCTCTCTCCAACATCTAGCTATATATAAATCTCCAGGATTGAAAGGGGACTTGTGATCTCCTTTTTCCTCTACGATAAGGTGTTTGTAGACACTATATTGGATAATTTATGTGAAGATACTCACAGCTTCCACGAGTTCAAGATTACAATGGTTATTTTGTGCCTACGTGCAGCATTTCACACTACTTCCCACACCTTCCATTTCATCTGGTTCTTTTATTCTTCTGCATCTTCTTGTGCAATGTTCAGTGGGCTTTAGAGGAACTATTTATGACTGAGCATGCAACAGTCACAATTCTTATTTTGTATTCTTCTAATCTTTCCAAGTAAGGTCTTTTAGTATTGATCCAAATAATATACAATATTATTTAGATCTAATATTATCTTATTAGAATGTTCCTATTAACTATCACAGTTGTCCCTTATGTTTCTTCTGTAATTATCATTGACACTTGTGTATATCTTTGCCCTCTTTTGCAACATGCAAACTCTCAGTAAAATTACAATCATAGTCAAATTATCACTTTTCCATGATCTCTAGCTATAGTTTTAGAGCTGAAGAAAAACATGTGGCATTCAAAATCCATTTTGACTTCATGGTAATAGAGTTAAGAAAATACTTTATGCTCTTTACAACCATAAAACGTCTCCTGATCCCACTTACCTCTGCCTTGTTCTAGAATGCTGAATTTATTAGTCTGCCTATTCCTAAGAATTATATTTCTGAGCTTTTTATTGACTAATAACAGAATACAATCTTATTTACTCTTAACAATTAAAAATAACTCAGTAGTAAGGAAATTGGGTATAAATAACATAAGTAACATGTAAGTAGCATACATAGAAATTCTCAAAAGAAAAACTTATCAAGAAGTAGAGTGTGTTCATTATTACAAATACTGATTAATGGGGCTGGAGGGATGGCTCAGTGGTTAAGAGCACAGGCTGCTCTTCCAGAGATCCTGAGTTAATTCCTAGCATCCACATGAGATCTGTTGCCCTCTTCTGGCCTGCAGACAGACATGCAGGCAGACACTGTATATATAATAAATAAGTAAATAAAAAAATAAATCTTTAAAAATGCTGATTAAAGTTCTAATTTCATAACAAGTAAGGTTTAATTACAGTAAATAGCATGAGTTATGTTAATGACTTGACAGAAATAATTCTGTTATAACATTTTGGGTAAAAGTCAAGTTATATTTCACCAAAGAAATCCAGAAATCAGTACAGGTCTTTCACAAACTCACTATGAATTCATGGAGATTTCAACAGGTGGTAAAAAGAGGACTGACCACAAGCACATCTGCTCTTGCTATTCTTTAAGAGTGAGAAGAATATGGAACTAGGGAGTTAGCTCAGCAATTCAGGGCTCTGGGTGTTCTTCCAGAGAACCTGGATTCTGTTTTCAGTACCTAACTGGAGGCTAACAACCATCTGTATATCCAGTTCCAGGTTCTGACAGCCTATCTGGCCTTGTCAGGCACCAGGCATACACACAGTGTGCATGCTTATATACATGCAAAACAGATAAAGTAAATCTAATATTTAAAAATATTTAAGAAATTTAACAAACCCCCTTCTCCTTCCCCAATTAAAGGGTAACACTAATAAAGAAAAAGAAGGCATGAATTTGAGAGTGACTAAGTGTAGAAATGTCGGGAAGTGGAGGGAGGGAACAATATGGGAGGGTGTGGGAGGATGAGATGTGGGAGGGGTTGGAATATAGAAAAGAAAAGGGAGGAAATTATATCATTTTATTTTAATAAAAAAAACAATGCAGCATTTGAAATTTTAAAATGGAATGAGAAGTTTTTGATTGCATTTAAGTGTTAGTGAGAACTGATAAAGAAGAGTAACTTGTAGATAGCGGTAGAAGAGGATCAGTAATGGGACAATGTAAAAGACAGGAGCACACAGAATGATCACTCTAGGATGCCTCCTTCATTTTAACTGGAGGGAATAAATGAAGAATACTAATATGAAAGTGTAAGCTGAGTTAAAATTTCAATGTAAAGAAAATAAGGGAATTTTCCTCTAGAACATAATTTTCCATCCAAGACAGGACATATTAGGAGTTCAGTAAGAAAACTTAAATTCCCTTTAAAGGTTAGAATGGAGTGTGGACTAAGACAATTTTCAGGTGAATAGATCCATTTGTGAAGAAACTAGCACTTCCATTTGGCAGCAGCAGCCTGGCATAAGTAAAGGGAAGGTGCATGATTCACTCCCAAGGTTTACAAGCAGGAGATTAAGGACAATGAGAGAAGAGAGCTGAAGGCAGCACTCACTGGAGGAAGTTTGAATGGTTTTACTATGTCATGATGACAGATAGAAAACAAGCTACAAACGAAGGGAAATAGCAACTATGAGAATCAGAGAGAGCAGGTGTCACTAGCCTCAAGTGCCAGTGAAAAAAGTTTGCCATTATTCTAAGTAAGCTGTAAGCACTCATGGCTGTCACCATAAAGTGAACTCAGTATGCCTGCTGAGACAGATGTGTGGATGGTCACTTTATACAGGTTCTAGAAAACAAAGATGACAACGTACTATGAGCATTTTCATGAATTTGTGGAAAAATGTTGTTTTGGCTATTTCAAGGTGTGGTGAAGTATGATGTCTACGTGTGTGTTGAGGCACAAGGTTGAGTATGAACCAGTTTTTTTTTTAAATAACAGATGGAATCATGGAGCAGATAACAAATAAAAAATGGGAAGGTATGGAGGATACCAAAGAGATTCATAGAACTCCTAATGGAAGATGAGCCCAGTATCTATCTAATAAAGAATGTACAAAAAAAGGAAGAGCATAAAAGAAAATCAGGAAACATGGCAATAAGAGAAGAGGGGTAGATAAAATAAACAAATACAGAAGCTCTCTGGTTATGCGTGCAATCCTAAATAAAATAAAATGTAAATGACATGAACAAGATTCAAGTGGAAGAAAAAAATAGTTACTGCTGTGACTCTTTTTCAGCACCAATTTTCAGCACCTTTTAAAGATTTATATTTAATTTTTAATTTTTTTTTTTTTTTTTTGTGTGTGTGTGTGTGTGTGTGTGTGTGTGTGTAAGCCAATGCTACCAAAGGCCAGAAGAGGGTCTCAGGTGCCCTAGAGCTGTAGTTATGTGTGGTTCCTAGCTTCCTGATATGTATGTCTGGAATCAAATTAAAGTCCTCTACAAGGGTAGTATATGCTCTTAAGCACTGATAGGAATTTTAATATTTATCAAGACAGCTGTGTCCCTGAAGATCCCACCATTTCTGATCAGATTATGGTTAAAAGAACAAAGGAATAAAATGTTTTTCAATCCCTTCTTTTCATAAGTCATCTTCTCATTCAAACTAATGTCAGTTCTATAAATATAAAAGACATATTACAAGCATATGTGTAATATATAGTTCTTACATCTGTATGCATTATATAGTATGTAACTATATAATATTAAAATAGTTGTTTCTCAAATGAACCACTTTCAAATTTAATATTTTATAAATGCCATAAATATATCATACGCTGTCAACTTCAAAAACATTTATATGCATACACACATAGATATACCTCCCCTATTCATCGTGTCTTGCTAAAACCCAGCCTCACATTTACATGAAAGCCTGAATATGATAAGGAAAGATATGGGACAATAGTGTTAGAAATATACTCCAAGAACATTTCAAGTAGATCTTATTTACTAGGAAAAGTGAAATGATTGCAGAGCAAACAATAAACAACCTGACAAAGTCACTATCTTTACAGATTCAAATAGTAATCAAAGAATAGCATCCAACTTTTGCAATGGTAAAAGTAACTAGAAAAGTTAATCTTTCTGTATGTGTAGGCTTATTCTTGTATTTGAACTTATGTGGGTCTGTGCTACAAAGGGAATAAAGGGAGTAATTAAAGCAGGTTGTGGAAGATAAAATGAACCATCAGACTTCTCAAGAGATTTTTAACACACATCAAATTGTATAAAAGGAATAATTTTACAAATTACCCTACAGTATTCCTTCCCTAGGAATCTTTTCTGTGAGGTAAATCAGAGAGCTACAGAAACTGGTTAATAAACATGGTTATATATATATAAGGAAGGAAACACAGACATACATCATGACTTATTTTAAATTCCTTGAACCAATTATTTAAATATTGATTTAATATATGATATCACCTTCACTTTCTTCTACCGGTCTTATAAATTCATACTTGTAGAAAATGGCAGCAAAAATAGTTGATGCAATTGTTAACATGAAGGCAGCACCTGCCAACCATTTTGATCTGTTCCCTCTGCTTCCATAGTATGCCACAATTATTGCTACCAGGAAGGATGCATGATAATCACTGAAATCCATTATGTATTTTTCTTCCTCTGACAGAGAAAATTTCTTCTCCAAATGTTTAAAACTCAGATCAACCATAGCAAATGCAATACCTAAAAATTCAAAAGAATGACAAAAGTCAATATAATGCATTTTAATAGACAAAACATATCACTATTATAATCATTCAATGAAAACTTTACACTAATATAATGTTATTTTATAATACTATGAATGAGTAAAATCTGTAGACAAAAATTAATTCATTAACCTTCATGAAATATTTTTACTTGAATATTAGAAGCTATTTTAACTGCTTCTATTAGTAGCTTATCAAAGATCAATTATGGTTTTATCATCTCATCTCTCTTTTTAAATGCATTATATATCAGTTACAAAGAATTAATAAATAATACAGTAAATGTTTACATATTTTTTAATTGAAACTAGAAAGACATTTGGAACCCAGCTTTGATTTCTAAACATAAACTTTTCTATAGCTAGGCTTCTGTGCTTGAGCTTTAGTATTTCTGAGCATTTTTAATCTTTAACAAAAGTATACATTCAATGTAAGTATACATTCCATGTTCTTGAGTATTAAATAGATGGTAGTATTATTTGTATAAAATCACCATCCAGTATGTAAAGAAGAAAAAAAAATCATACTAAGGGAAACAAAAAATAACTTGATACAGGGAATTGCTACAAAAATTATTATATTTCTTGGAGTGAAAACAGAAATAGTTACAAATTAAAAGCCATGCTATGTCTGCAAAGGGGCTGCATCACAAGTCAGTGCTGCAGTATCCACAGCTGGTGTTGTCCAACTACCTCAAACCCTCCTTGGCTTGCAGGGATCCGGGAGTCCAGATTCTTCCTAAAGCACCTAAAGCTCTGAGAACCCGCGCATCACCTGCTTCCCCAGCAGTTTTCACGGCTAGACCCAAAGAGCACCGTGCTGCTGAAACATCCGTGATTGCTGCTGATGGAATAGCTATTCCCTGCTTTACCTCCATGAACTCCTGTTATTTCTCCTGCTGCCCAAATCAACACCCAAACCAGGAAACCATAGAAGATTCTGGTGACACTTTTGATCTGTAGTCCTCAAGCCTCTCACTGGCAGCAGATAAGTGAGAGGGCCAGGTGGAAGCTGGTGGGCAAATGCAGCTTTCATGTTGACCAGAACATTTTGCAAATAAAAGTAAATTCAGAAGTGGATTGCTGGAGCTTGGGGACTACAGGCATAAAGAATGTGACTTTTTATAGTAACAAAAATTATTAGAAATTTATAACTAAAATAATACACGGAGGAGGAAGACAACATGTGGATAAAAAGACCCTTTGTGTTTCGTCCTCCGAAATTTAAAGATGAAGACACAAAATCCAGACAGAAAACTGCCTTGTCAGAGTGTTTCAAACTGTGAGCAGAAACCACCTCATGATGGCAACGCTGTTTTCAGCTTTAATCTCCAAGAAATTGAACCCACAACTCAAGTTGGTCATCAAATAACATGAACTAACAATACCACCTTCTCAGCTCTGTATCTGGAGACCAGAAGCGCGGTGTGCACCCTGTGAAAGCATGTGGCTAAGAACTGAAGACAAGGGCACTGGAGGATTTGGTTTAACTGATTCTGATTCCATTCATGCTCTGCCATGGACCCTTCCCTTCCCACAGTATGCCAGCCTCGTCTACTACTCTCAAGAGCAACTCTGCTCCACCAACTTACCATGAGCTACGACCAACAAAAAGTACAAAAACAGGAAGAAGTCAATGTTGTTGAAACGTTGAAGAGAAGGAAAAACTAGAGGTCCCAAGCCAAATGGCCCCTCCAGGGAAGCACTATGTTTTGGATCTGATAAATCTGGGTGACTTGGCAAATCAAGCTTTTTCTCTACTTGGAGATTTTTGAACTTCGTCATGGCACTTGGAATTGTTTTCACATAGGGGGTTATTTTACTGATTTTCTCTACGTCCAATTTGTCTGTGCCAAGGCCTTCTTCCAACTGATCCTTTTTCTTGGCACCTTGCATCTTTCCCGGTTCCTGCGTCATGGCTTATCTAACACAGACCGCAGGTGTGTTTCGAGGCACCTGTGCACACCGTAGGCTCAAGTGACTAACCCTGTTGCTGACACTCTAACCCCTGCAGGGAACGTTACTTCCGGTGCAGGAAGCTAACGTCCCTACGGCAGGGTTGACTGACGTGGCCAAAGTTCCAAGATTGTATTCTGTCTTCTCTGTGTCACAGAAAAGGAAAGAAGATAGAAAAGGAAAGACGAGGGGGAGAAAAGAGAGAGGAGGTGAGTGTAATCAAGCTATGTTGGACAAAATGCTCAAGTAACTAATAAAACGTTTTTTTTTTTTTTTTTTAATTTATCCTTTGTGTCCTTCACATCACATATCCTGATAACATTCCTTCCCTGTCCCTTTACATCTGCCCTCTGCCCCTGCACCCCCCTCCCCCAAATAAAACAAAATTTAAGAGAAAAAAGGAAGAAAATAAAATGAAAAAAGTTAAAAGGGAAAAAATTTAAAATCTCATGGAAGCCGCAGTGCAACCCAAGAAGTCATGCTTTGTACCCCTTTGTACCCATATCTCTACTTGCAAGTGTCCTTTGCAAAGAATCACTGTCCCCCATTTCTCATCTGGCAGACAAAAAATTCAGCTGCTCAGGCCCCGACCCAGGGTTGTGACTTGGACTGCCGAAACATCAACCCCATCTATGATCTGCTGGAGCACATGAAGGGACCTGAGCTGCAGACCCAAAGCTGTAAGAGCTCCACTACACAGGACAGCAGCAGGATGTGCGGGAAGCCCTAGTGGGGGCCCAGCATCAATCATTTAGTGGAGACCAGGGGCCTCGAACCAGACCAATGACTCTTTGAAATAAAAATATTTTTAAAAGAAACAAGGAAAAATAAATGTTTAAGCATAGGAGAGGGGAACCAACCTCCAGTATCTCACAGAACAATACAATAACATTTTAATTTTTAGGGGTTGTGTTTTGTCATATAGCTTTGAATTGCACCTAAATTCTGGTAACATTTAAAGGTTTTGGAGCATATCTCCCTTTCTTTAAATAATATAACACTTTATCAACCCTGTCCTATCTAACTTTGTCTATGTGACATATCCTAGAGTCATCCAAGAAGGAAGCCTCACTTGATAAACTGAACAGATCACCCTGATCTGTAGACATATCTTAGGGGCCTGTTTTGATTAATAATTGATGAAGAGGTCCCAATCAGCTTCAGGAAGGTAGTCCTAGGTTGGGTTTTTCTTCTGTGAAACGGAAATAATAATTGTTCCCATCTCCTTAAGATATTATGAGTATTAAATGCGTTAGTAGCAGTTGAGAACACTGTTGAAGACATGTGAACATTACAGAAGAGAATATATGATTGATGTGCTTTGGTATATAGGTTAGAATTTCAATGTACTTTTCATTCAATAAACAAATGATATGAATAGTCTTTGTCAAATTATTGTAGTCACTGACGTTTCTATTATAAATGGTTGTTTCACAAAGTTCATGGAACTGACTGTTCAAAATATTCATTATTCTGTGTACTTTTCTTGGTTTTGAAAAAAGTGCACATTTTTATCTGCTTGATTTGATAAATTAGTTGCTGTCTATGAACTTGAAAGAAGACTACAGAAGTCACTAACTAAATTCAAATTAGAAGTTAGTGGAGATAATTATGTTGGCCCTTCTACAATGCACTGCCACAGAGGACAATTGATTATACCCAGTTTTCAACAACAAAATCAATAACAAGGATTCAGCTACTAGATTAGCACTGTAAGTAGGCAAGTAGTAGTCTGCTGTAATTAAGCATGGGATTCATAAATTGTTTTTGTAGGTTAATTGTCATTTAAAAACTGAAAAGCAACTTGTCAATTTTAACATTTTTAAAGTACATAATCTCTCTATGTTAAAGTCTTTTCTTATGAAATAATGTAATTTTTCTCCCATTAAACTCAAAGATTTCTATATGGCTTAGCATAAATATTTAGTGTCAAGTAATGTGATGCGGCTGGGGGATATAAGTCAGTGGCAGAGTGCTTGCCCAGCATTGATGCAATATATTGTTTCTACATCTCTGAATATAAATAAATAAAAAACAGCCTCTTTTGAGTTTCCACATTTGTGATTTATCTTGTTTTAGTTGCATTTCTATAGTATTGTGAAGCAAAGTACTCTTTTTATAGTCCTCTCCTCAAATAAAAATATTATTGAAAATTTCAAATAGTGTTATAATTGATAAAGAATTTACTAATAGATAATTGTTCATTTTTGACATTATAATTTAATTTCAACATTTCTCCCTTCTTTTTTCTCCTTCCAAACCCTCCCCTATATTGTTCCCTGTTCTTCAAATTCATGGATTCTTTTAAAATTAATTCTTATTGCATGCATACATGTATATAGCATATACATGTACATTACTAAATATAACCTGTTTAGTCCCTATAATGCTACTTGTGTGTATGTTTTCAGAGCCGAATGTTTGGAACTGAGTAACCAATTGAGTGTGCTTCTCCCTAGGGTGACAGCCTCTCTTGCTCCCAGATTTCCCCAGTTGCCTATAGTTCTTTGTGTAGGGTTTAGATCTCATTGGCTTTTCCTCACCAAGCTTAGTATGGTCATTAGTGTCGTCTTCGTTTGCCTCACATTTGGGTGGTCATGTTGGTGAGGATTGACAGGTGTAGCTTCTGACATAACAGGGAGACACAATCTCAAAGCAAACTCCTGATGCGCTGGCTGCTGCAATCTCTCCACCCCCCTTATGCAATGTTCCCCGAGCCTTAGGTATGGAATCATTTTGTAGATGTATCCATCACACCCCTCCTCTTGACATCTCCAGCACTTCCCCTGTCACATACTCATCCCCCAAGTACTATTCATAAAAATGAGCTTGTCCTCATGGATCGTCTCCTTTAAAGTCAGTGGATGGTAAAGGAGAAGGCAGAATACAAGACAATGGGATGTTTCTTTATGTACTTGGTACCTGGATAAAGCAATAAGCAACTGCCTAGGCATCAGTTGACTTTTCAGGTGACCTTAAGGAGAAAAACACAGCTTCCAAAGATTAGAAATCAAACAACATTTTTCTGACTACGTTATTCTGCCCACGTAGAGTTATTGTAATCCATTAAGCATTTATTGCTGTTCTACAAAAGATAAAGTTCTAGATGGCTAAGATTTGCTCTCAAAAGCAGACTTGGGGATTATTATGCTTGGAATATCAAATGCTCACCAAAGGCCCATGTGCCAAATTCTTGCTTCCCAGGTGGAGTTACTGTGAGAAATTGTGGGAAATGTAACAGGCATGGCCCAATAAGAGGAAGTAGGCCTCAAGTGGTGTGCTTGTTGAGGTTTTATCTGTTCCTTGGTTCCTAGTCTCTTTCTGTCTTTTCTTTCTTTTCTTTCTTTCTTTCTTTCCTTCTTTCTTTCTTTCTCTCTTTCTTTCTTTCTCTCTTTCTTTCTTTCTTCCTTTCTCTGCATGCAGTATGGTTTCTAAATTCAATACTAACTTACACAAACTCTTCAGTAATTCATTAATTCTGTGTGGGTTTCAACTGTAAATTCCATATTTTGATTCTATTTAGCATTCATGTGATGTTATGGGATAATCTTTTCATACATTCTTAAGATGTGCCTCTGCCAAAGCACCTTCTGATTGGTTTAGTAAGGATCTGAACAGCCAGGCAGGAGAGGACAGGCAGGACTTCCAGGGAGAGAAAGGAACTCAGGGGAAGAATCTGAATGGCAGGGAATTTGCCAGCCAGACAGGGAGGAAGTGAGATACAAGGTACTGAGCAGCGGTAACAAGCTAAGTGGCAGGCTGGTTTGACTACTTTCTTGAAAATAGCCTAACAATTCAATCAGACAATGTGATAACATATGGGGAAGATAAGGAGAGTGTGTGAGGAGAGGGGAAGAGAGAGGAGGGGAGGGATGGTAAAAGGCAAGAGATCCTGAGTTGAGATTGCACTAATTTGTTTGACTAACTGGCCATTTTGTTAAAAATTCATCAGATTAGGACTGCATGTATCTTGATAAAGTTATTCTATGTTTTACTACTTTACGGTCTTATTTTCCTAGACAGGGTCTCACTACATATATAGCTTTGGTTGGTCTTGAACTCACTATGTAGACCAAGTTGATCTCCAACTCATTCACCTGCCTTGCCTCCTGCACCCAGCTATTAAAAGTGTTCCCCATAACCCAAGTATACCAGGCTTTCCTTTTTTGGGCCACCAACCAGCTCCCAAATCAAGACATGGAGACTTATTATTAGTTATGTATGCTCGGCTTTAGTTTATGCTTGTCCCACTAACTCTTATAACTTATTTTAACCTGTGTCTCTTCATTTACATTTTGCCTCAGGGCTTTTTACCTTTCTTTCTTTCTATGTGTTCTATTCCATGGCTGGCTGGCAGCTCTGGCTTCTGGACCTGGGCTTGTCCCTCTCTTTCTCCCTCATTCTCTCTTCCTTCTCTTCCTTTGCCTAAATTTCTCCTCCTACTTATTCTCTCTGCCCACCAGCCCCTCCTATCCTTTCTCTGCCTGGCTGTTGGCCATTCAGCTCTTTATTAGACCAATCAGGTGCTTTAGGCAGGCAAGGTGAAACAAATGCAGCACCACATCTTTACATAATTAAACCACTGCAGCATATACAAATGTAGCATACTTTACATCATTAAACAAATGCAGCATAAATAAATATAACACATCTTTATGCAGTTAAAACAATATTCCACATCATACACAAATATAACACATATTTACGTAGTTAAAATAATATTCCACAACAACCCAAGTTCTCAGGATAATGGATTACATTTGCCGTTGCCCCCAAAACACTTGTAGAACATTATTAAAGGTCCATGTTCATCAGGTGCTACCTGGTCAGTATACAGACCCTTTTCAAGGGACAGTGAGAAAAAAAGCTGAAGGTTATTTTAGGTTCTTTAATATACTAGATGGAATTTAACTACATAATACATACTCTCTGTTTTTTTAAAGTACTTATTCAGTTATTCT